GCCATTCACATGAACACATATGAAGCTGCCTTATACTGAATCAGACCCTTGGGCCATCAAGATCAGTATTGTCTACTCAAGACTGGCAGTGGTTCTCCAGGGTCTCAAGTCTGAGGTCTTTCACATCACCTCCTACCTGATCCTTTCACTGGTGGTGCTGGGTGACTGAACCTGGAACCTTCTGCATGCTTTACCACTGAGCCACAGCCTCTCCACAGGCAAACAGGAGAGGTCTGGGATGGGAGGAAGAAGAAAATGTGTGTATTTATGCAGTGGTTGGCCAGTGCAGTACTGAGGGACTAAGGCATGGCCATGGCATCCAGGAAAAGGGATGGACTTGAAGTTGATCCAAGCTGTAGCGGTGGACAACTAATCACCTGTGGCAAAAGGCAGCCTCTCATCTGTTCACATATTCCGAAATGCATCAAAGCATTTGGTCAGCCAGTTCTACAGGACTCAGAGGAGCACTGTGACACAGATATGCTTCCAGATATCAACACTAACACTAAACTTATGTGCATACACTTCTCTTGTTGGATTGGGATTAGAAATGTCTTGCAATTGTTAAGGTGTTTGGTTTAAGGATTTGTTGTTGTTCAATGCTTGTGTTCTCCATAACTTGGCTAAGGCTAATCATTGCTCAATATCTCATTAGATTTCTCTCTTAAACCATATAAGAAAGTAGAAGAGGAAAACAAGCATGAAACACACCGTGTGCGCATATATACCTTATCTTTTCAAAGCCATGCTCTACTCCCCTTCTTAACTAGAGCATGACAAAAGATTATTTAACGTAAGTAATCAACTATTCACACACCCCTGTTTGGTTTCTAGTAAATGTCTACTTTCCCCCCAAAAATGTCTGTGTTCTATAATTCTTTAGGGGAAAATAACATCAAGGGTGAATGGGTTTAATTACATAAATGACCACACATGCAGTATTAGTGGCTGGTGATAACAGAACCCCTTCCTAAGTCCTAGAAAGAAAGGAGATAAAAAAGGACTTGAAAGTGAAAATTCAGTGTTTTACTGAAATTGTGTCAATGACAAATACTTAAGTTTCAGATGTTGGCAAAATGCAATCCATTTCTCAAAGCAGTGTGCAAAGCAGTGACATAGTCAAGACATGTCTACACTGCTATTACTTCATTTCACCAAAGTAACTATATTTTTGAAAAAGGTTAGTAAAATAAATTTTCTTTCTCTTTTACAAACTTACAGTTGCAGGGTTCCTCTGGGAAAGCATGCCACTTAAAGCAGTATAAAATCAGCCTAGGTTTGTAAAGTAAATTTATGATTGAATGGTCATAGACCCTAATGAAAACATTTGATATCAAGCAGTGTTCCCTCTAAGCTGAGTTAGTGTGAGCTAGCTCACAGTTTTTTAGCCTCTGGCTCACACAGTTTTGTCATAGCTCAGGAAGGATGGCTCCAGAGCAAACTAATTGATGCAGCAGCCAAATCACTTGCTCACAACTTTAATGCTGGTAGCTCACAAAGTAGAACTTTTGCTCACAAGACTCCACAGCTTAGAGGGAACATTTGATATCAAGTACTAGTCCCCTGGGTCAGCACATAGGAAACGGAGGTTCTCCATGTCCAGTGTAGTGTGCTTCAGCGCACAATTCCCAGTTAACTGAGCTCCCTCAGCCAATTGTGTAATGTATGCCTCTTAGAACACAGTAGTGTTTGAATACACAATGGCACAAATGGGTAAGAGAAGTATCCTGCATTTATTATCAAAGAATATTCTTTAAAACAAAGCACCCCCTCACCCTAGAAGCAGAACTGCCAAATGTCTTAACAAAAGAAACCAGTAGTGTGCTCTGAAGAAGCCACCAACCCTTTTAGGATGAAACAACAACTGTGGGGTGTAGTGGTTAAAGTGTCAGAATAGGATCTGGGAGATTCAGGTTCAAGCTAATGGAAGCTTGCTGGGCGAGCTTGGGCCTGTTACATACTGACAGCCAAACCGACATTACAAGGTTGTTGTAAGGATAAAATGGAGGAGAGAACTACGTAAGCCCCTTTGGGACCCCTCCTGGATAGAAAAGTGGGGTATAAATGAAGTAAATAAGTGAATGTGTACAGGGCATACAAAACACTTTCAGAGATCTGAAATGCTACACTGGTTTTCTAAAATCAGCTATACCAGTTCATCTCAGGTAATGCTGGTACACTTATCTAGATAGTGGGTGGCAGTTCTGTCCAATTACACAGGCAAAGTTCTAACCAAGATGCTGAATCCCAAAATATATTCTCAGTGTTATAGATGTTTTCTTCAGGGCTTGGGAACACAATCAAAATTAGTTAATAAACCTATTTTGTATTGATATATGTCCCTCCTGTGTTGTAAACATTAATGCATTTCAATGTTATCTAAGCTCCTTTGTGACAAGTGAAAGTTATCTCCTCTCAATAAACTAGGGCTAGCTACTGAGGGGCAGTCACAGATTACCAAAGGGACCTCTATATGTTGGGCTACTTTTAGATCCATTTTGCAAGAAGGACTTCAATTCCATTTCTTACTAAGCTTCTCCCATCCCTACTGCTGATCAAATGTGGAACAATCTAAAGATTGCAGTCCTCACTTAAACACACCCAGTACAGTTGGCTCTATCAGGAGAAACAGTCTATAAATGATTATTAAAAGGTTATTTCACAAGATATAATTGGGCCTGTTTTTCTTTCTAAGAATCACTTCCCCTTTGCAAACAAACAACGACAGAGACTCAACTGGCAACCCTTCATTAGAGGAACTCTTTCCAAAACAAAGTTGTTTCAATTTATAGAGAAGTTAAGAATCTACCTGAAGTCCTCGTGACTAGCAGCTGACCAGTTACAGCACAATCTCAAGCCAAGTTACATCCTTTTATATCCATGGAAGTCAATGAGCTTACAAGGGTGTTAGAACTGTTAGTCTTCAAGGGTGCCATAAAACTGGTCATCATTCTACTGCTACAGATTTAACATGGTGAATGCTCTGGGATTTATTTCCATGGAAATGCAAGGACAAGGGTTGCTACCTTTTAAAATGTTTTGATTTTCTTTAATAAAGGAGCTCTGCCCACTGCCTCCTTTCACATTTTTAACTAACAGCTTGATTTGTTCAGAGATAGGTTGTTTGCTATTAACAAAGAAAAAAAGTATGCAGAGAGACTTTCTGAAAATTGGTGTCTCCAAGATTCGATTTTTGGTAAGAATAGCCAGCTTATTGTTCAAAGTTTCCAATGGAGAGAGAACTCCCCCAATGTAATTAAGAGGCATTATCTTAGCCATACAAATAGAAATGCAAAAGAAGGCCAAGTAGGTACTACACTAGAGGCATGTCACCCACTCCAACTAGCATGCAAACATTCTAAAACCCTGTCTATGCCCCACTTACTTCCCCCTCCCCAAGACAGAGTCTACAAGCCCAAGTATGGAAGTTTTTTTCATTCTGAATTAGCACCACTTGGAAGCGTCATGAATGCAAAACTGACTGGGCAGCCAGGGGTAGGGGGAAAAGAAGGCAGGAAAGTGGGTGAACTTTCATATGGTGGTTGAAAACAAAAAAAAAGAGGCTTGTGGCACCTTAAAGTAACAGAGTTCTTACAGAGTAAGCTTTACTGGATTATAACCCTTATCAGATAGATGAAGTGCCTTCCGTTGCTGTTGCCCTTACCAGCAATCTGGGGGTACACTACCTTTGAAAATGGAGGGTCTATTTAGTCATCATGAGCACATCTGATAGAAGCGGAATCTTATTCTCACGCACAATAAATTGTTGTTAACTTTTAAGATGCCACAAGACTTTTTTTTCTGCCTTCCCTTTCATAGACTACCCCAGCCACCCCTCTAGACCATGTGGTTTGTGTCCAACAAGATCTCTTCACATAATGGGGACCTTCTTCCTGCTTCCCCCTGCCACTTCAGCCCACTGAACCTTTGTTCCCACCAGTCGGCATAACCTCAGCAACAGCACAAGGGGGAAGTGAGGGACTAAAATATGTGGAGAGCATTTGCAGGAGTTGCCTTGCCACTCCCCCTTCCCAAGATGAAAATGCAACAAGATTTGACACAAGCCTGTGATTAGGTGTTGGAGTCAAAGCTTCACCCCATGGATAAAACACACTGGCCTTAAGAGTCCCAACAGACAATAATACCCCTCCTTGCTCCATGAGCTACACTTGAACAGTGACTCCACAGTGGGACAGCTACTGGCAATGTTAGGAACAAGGATGCAATACTTTCCCTCTCAGCTTTGCCCCTTCCTTCAGAACCCAACTTCGAAGCCTCGTGACATTTGTTGGGAATAACCTAATTCAAGAGGCAGAAACAGCTGGCAAATGCTATTTGTTCCACTGCTCAGCTGAGATCTTTTCGACCACAGAAGCATTTCCAGACTAGGGTCCTTTCCGCACTTGGATCTCATCCCTGGTTTTATCAGAGTTCAGCTCGGGACACAAGATACCTGGCATTTATCCCTGGTTATAACAGCATCCATTTATCAAGTGTAGGGCGAAACTGGGGTGACCGCAATGAAATGTAGAAACAAAAAACACCCCGAGATAATTACAAGGGTGAACTCGCATGTAGTGTAGAATGTAAAAATACCCCGAGATAATTACAGGGGTGAACTTGCGTGTAGTGTAGAATATAAGTTTGGGGGCAGGGTTGAACCAGGATTTAAGGTCTAGTGCGGAAAGGACCTAGGGCAGCAGGGGGAGGCAGACAAACCTGCCTTTCAGTGCTTGCCCCAACGCAATAGCAGTGTACTACTAACCAGGGCGGACCCTGCTCAGCTTCTGAGATTGGACAATATCAAGTCAGCCAGGGCCATCCAGATCAGGGCACAGAAATTTAGGCTGACTGAAAACTCTTTGCAAGTTACATCCCATGTTAAAATTTACCACCTCAAAGAAGAAAAGGGAGGAGTTACAGCTAAGTCAAAGGATGTCAGCTAACTGAACCAGTCCTCGGTGCAAGCACTGTAGTGCTTGGAAAATGAAATGATTGCATCTCCTCCCTTACCTAACTGCTGAGGAGGTGTTCTCCTTATTCCCTTCACTGACTGGGGCCTGTTCTGACATACTGAATTGTCTTACAGGTCATTGGTTTAGCCCCAAATAAGGAGCTGCCATAGACTGGGGAAGGAGCATGGGTGTGTGTGGGGTGGGTGTGTGTGTGTGTGGGGTGGGATGACATGACAGCGGCCTTGGACTTCCATTTCTTTCCCTGCATGTATTTGTTGTGGCACTGGAGTTTCCCCCGTCTCTGGTATGACCCTGAGGAAAGACTTGATGATGATGATCAGTCTCTGCCGTACAGCACTACCTGGGAGATATGATGAAGAAGGGGCAGTGGTCTGGGCAAACATTTCCCTGGATCATGGCCTCCATTTGCAAATGGATTTGGTTTTTAACAATCTCTATTAAAATATAGATCTAAAAACGATTAACAGCACAATGAGGACAGAGGGGAGGGAGGACAGGACACCGGCCAGAACTGCCCCTGCAGCGGCACGTCCTCCCCTCTGAGCTCGCACTGCTTGTGGCGTTCGAGGAATCAACACCCTTACTGAATATTCATTTTTTTTTAAAAAGGAGATGGTACAATGCTTGCTTTCCCCTCTGCCAAAAACAAAACAAAACACCAACAACAGGAAAAGAAGGGGAAATGAAAAAGGTGGAAAACGATCCTACAAAAATTCAAATTAGGAAATAAAAATCATCGAGTGGAGAAAAAAAAAGAGGTGGGCATGTTTTACTGGAGGCCCTCAGTGGAGGCGCCTGCATCGCCATCATGGCTGCCGGTCTCAAAGCTGTGCTCCACGCCCATGATGTCTGGCTCCATCTTGCCAGTGTCATTGATGAAGGTTGTGTAGGTGTCTCCCTCGGCCATCAGTAGTTTCAGTTTGGGGATCCAGCTCTTGCGAACAACGCGCCGTGCATTGGTGCACATGTCAGCAGCAATAGCATTCATCTCACTCTCCTTGAAGTTGGGGGCAAAGTTCTGGCAATAAACTGACAAAAGGATGCAAATCTCCATCAATGTTAGCACTTGTGTGTGACTGGGAATGTTCCCCACAGTTCCTTCCCCCTCTAGACTCCAACACCATCATCTCCCCTTGTCTGCCAAGGCCTTCAGATATGTCAGTGGCACTCTTAGCATACATGATCCACAACCAGGTGTGAGACGGTGATCTACTTCAAAGGTTTTAGTTACAGGTCCAAATTTATCTCCTTTGCCACAATCATTTGTGGACTCAGATGTGACAGACAGCCAACTGTCCTGATCATATCCCAGCCCGGTTCTCTACTCTTCAAGAAAGCAGCATTAATACACTCCTACATTCCCCATCCCATATAAAATCCTCTCGAATGGACACTCACACTTCACAGCATGCAGTACCCTGCTGTCGAGGGGTTTTCGGCTAGGGTCATTGGTGGAGGAGCGGATTCCAGTGCCACAACTGTTGGCAAGGGTATTCCTAGAAAGTGATTGAAGAGAAAGCAATTAAAACCTACTGAGCCAACTTTCTGTATACCCTGGTCTCTAACTGTCAATGCTGCCCACCTCTGCCCCTCCCTGGCTGTTCTGGCTCCTGTCCTGCTCCTGTGCTCTAACTAAACCTCATAGACTTCCCACAGCGAGGAAAAGAACCTGGTAGTACCGTCTCCCCCCTGACTGAAGCAGAAATGCATCCTGGGATAGGAAGGAGAGAACCGGAACTCCCCCTTCCACATTACCACAAACAGCAGGAAAATCACACACCGGTCAAAAAAGGATGCTAGTAGCCGCCTGAGAAGCACTTTGTGCCTTGTCCCAGCACTGACATGACAATTCATCAGCTGTGCCCGAGTGATGTACACATTGGTACCTGGACAGGGAAGAAAGATACATCTGTTTTGAGAAAACCATACTTCAAAACTGAATAGAGACTACGGAACCAAATGTTGATCGTACCAGATACTTTAAGGAAGTGACAAGAAACAGTGCAGTTCTGAAAGGATCCACTTCCTCTCAACTTCCAATAACACTTCTAGAGAAATAAAGAGCATGAGGTTGCCTAATAGCCATTAAAGAATACATTTTGTACCCAATGTGGTCTGATCTAATCTTTCTTATTAATTCAGCTGCCTGAGATGCCATCACCATATTGCACAAAATATCCCAAAGATATTACACAAAACTTTTGGAGACATGTTTGTAGCTAATATTCGGCAGGTGGATGCAGATCAATGCCTAGGAAAGAGGAAGTTTACTTCTGTGGGACAGTCATCAGGGAGAAGTTTGGTCTGTTGGACCTGCAGTGGTTTGAATCCTGAGCAACCCATTCTACAACAGACCAAAATCTTCCGCGATGTCTAGCAAAAACAACTATTAAAACTAATGTGGCTGCTGAAACAACTTTCTCCGCTTCCTGACTCAATATGTTTGATAAACATATGGAACAGAGGTCCATCAGTGGCTATTAGCCACAAGGTATAGATAGGAACTCTCAGTCTGGGGCAGGTGATGCTCTGTATTCTTGGTGCCTGCGCGGGGGGGGTGGAACGGGACGGGACAGTGGGAGGGCTCCTAGTGTCCTGGCCACAGTGTGACAGTGTGTTGGACTGGATGGGCCATTGGCCTGATCCAACATTGGCTTCTCTTATGTTCTTACGTTCTTAGTAAGTGGGTTAACTTATAAGCAAGGCATCAAGGCCGCAGATGAAGCCCCGGCTAGCTGCAATGTGTGTATAATTAAAAATGCTGTATGTTGTCTTCCCTATCCCCCACGAATATTGTTAGTCCAATTGTCAAAGAGTATCTGTAAATCACTCTGAGCCCACAGGTGTGTGGGAAAGAGCGATCAATTTTTTATTATTATTATTTTAATAAGGAAACCAATGTCCCCTGAGCTCAGTGTTCTGCCTTTGTTTCCTTTACAGTGTTTAAAGAGAGGAAATTAAGTCTTCTCAGGTAATACAAAGCATTTGCACCACAAGGTATAACAAGGCTTCATTTTTAAAAAAAATGTTACCTAGAGCTGTGAATGTCAAGCAGAATGGCTGGAAGCTGGTCTGCACTGAGTATGCTATTCCCCAAGGGCTAACCAGTCTCTGAGGCCATGCATTTAAGCCCACCCACAATGCCAACTCCATTCCTATGCCACACTGCTTTCTAACTTCACCTTGCCATTTAACTAGCCTTGCCTTCATGTCTACTGCTTGCCATCATAAGATGTGTGGGACTGCATGACCGAGTTCTGTATATGAGCGGGAAATCCTAAATCTGATGGATCTTTAAGGAAATACAGCACATAGTAGTTGCCTTCCAAGTACCAAAATCTTGTAGGCTAATAATCAACTCTACCCTGCACCTAGAGAGAGAAAGAATAAAAACAGGTTGCTTACCTGTAACTGAGGATCTTCGAGTGGTCATCTGTGCATTCACACCTCTGGGATATAGTGCGCCTGTGCCGAACCCAATCGGTAGAATTGAAAGCAAAGGGACTTTTCGCGCCTGCTCCCCGGTCACGTGCAGGGCTCCAGTGCCCATGACTAGGGGAGGGGCATGACAATCCCACCAGTTTCTTCTGACCGCTGTCATCAGCCATGAAATAAGTTAGAGAACCGGCAGCAGAGGGGAAGAAGGGCGGGTGGTGTGAATGCACAGATGACCACTTGAAGATCATCAGTTACAGGTAAGCAACCTGTTTATCTTCTTCGTGGTCTCTGTGCATCACACCTCTGGGAGAGTAACAAGCAAAAAAACCCACACCTACCTGGAGGAGGGAACTGGAGGTCCTCAAATGCACACCGACTGCAACACAGACCATCCCACCACAGAACGCTGATGAAGATGTACATCAAGGGCATAGTGTCTCACAAACATGTGAGGTGTGCCCCAAGTTGTTGCATTGCAGATATGTAACGACGTGCCCTTCAGGAAGGCTGTGGAGGCGGCTATCGCCCGTGTGGAGTGCGCACGAAGCATACCTGGAAGGGGCTTCTTTGCTAATAGGTAACAAAGTTTGATTGTTTCCGCAGTCCACTTGGACAGCCACTGTGATGACAGTTTGGTCCCCATCGAGGGCATGGCATAGGAGACGAACAGGGAGGGAGATTTACGGAATGACCGTGTCCTCCTGTTCAGGTAGAAGAGCAAAGCCCTTTTCACATCTAGTGTGTGGAGGCGGCGCTCCAAATTGTCCCGAGGGTCAGGAAAAAACACCGGGGGGGGGGGGAAGAGGAGAAGGAGGAGAAGAAGAAAAGGAGGAGATTGGATTTATACCCTGCCCTTCAATACCCAAAGGAGACTCAGAGCTGCTTACAAACTCCTCTCCCTTCCTCTCCCCACAACAGACACCCTGTGAGGTAGGTGGGGATGAGAGAGCTCTTGACAGAAACTGCTCTTTTTCAAGAACAGCTGTGCCAGAACTATGGCTTGCCCAAGGTCATCCAACCAGGTGCAAGTGGAGGAGTGGGGAATCAAACCCAGTTCTCCCAGATTAGAGTCCGCGCACTTAACCACTACACCAAACTGGGAGAGCAATGTCCGCTTGTACATGAAATTACGGAACGACCTTAGGAAGGAAAGAGACAATACAATGCAATACAAAAACCTTTACTGGCATATAAAATCAGTAAGATAAGAACTTCGTCAAGCTAAAATTACATCTATAAATCTTAGAACACACAATTTTAAGAACAGTTTTTTGCTACCTAAATTTTAGACAAAAATTCAGCGATCTGTACAGTCACTTCTGGTGTCTTATCAGCAAGGAGAAAGCTGATTGCATTATCAGAACTGATCCTACTCAGTAAACAGTCAGAGATATGAATGGAAGGGGCAGCGTAGCAGAGTATGATCTAAGGTATCGGGTTCTCTAAGTGAGCATTTGCAGATTCTGTCGCATTTCAGAATGCCTCTATATCTACCTGAGAGCCAGGATGAGGGAAAAACATTGAATCTGGCCAGCATAAGGGCTCTGCGTTGCAGCGGGATCACCAGATTAGAGAAGTATTGGGCCATACTATTTGGTGCATATCTGAGGCCAAGGGAGAGGGGGGAACAAGGGCCCCCGGCACCAGCCTTAATTGTTTGGCCTTCGATGCCCCAAATTCTTTTACGAATCATCCAGTATATAAAAGTCTCATCTTGATTTTCCAAGATGTCCAGGTCAATGCCAATTGAGCGTATTTTAAAAGTTATAGCCTGTGACCACTTGGATACATAGGGGCCATTGGTCAGGAGTGCAATACGGCTATTCTGAGGGAAAGAGACGTCCGGAGCCAACGTGACACCCATCTGGTGGGAAACTAGGTAGGGCGGATCGTGGCGCAAAGCCGACAGCTCGCTCACCCTCCTGACGGATGTTATGGCTACCAGAAAGGCTGTTTTCCACAACAGGAGCTGCAAACTACATGTAGCCATAGGTTCGAAAGGCTTACTGGTAAGTTTGGTCAACAAGAAAGGTGAGTTCCAGGCCGGAGTAGGGAGTCAAGATGGCAGAAAAAGGCAGATGAGTCCTTGTGAGAAACGCTTGACTAACAGGTGAGTGAACATGGAATGGCCATCAATCGGGGGGTGGTTTGTCAAGATTGCTCTCACAGATGTATAGCTGAGGCCCTGGTCCAAATGGGACAGGAGAAAACTACAAATGGCGACCAGATCTGGGGGAGGGGGGAGGCCAACCTCAGTAAGGTAGGACAGAAACTTTTCCCACTTCCCTTTGTAGGACTTTCGAGTAGATGGCTTACGACAGTTCAACAAAACATGCTCCATCCTGTCTCGTAGAGACCTCACAGGATCTTCCGCGCCATAAGCTTGAGATGCGGGCTATCGTGATAGAGCACCATGTCCTCCTGTGCAAGGAGAAGGCCCGGCACCGTCGGAAGATGGATGAAGGAGCCCTTGGATAGATGGAGCAGAGTGAGAAACCAGTGTTGCCTGGGCCACCATGGGGTCACGAGGATGCAGTGAGGGGCTTCTGTAATTATTTTGTGAAGAAGCACTCTGGTGAGCAGTGTTCACTCTAAGCTGAGTTAGTGTGAGCTAGCTCACAGTTTTTAAACCTCTGGCTCACACATTTTTGTCTTCGCTCAGGAAGGGATGGCTCCAGAGCAAGCTAATTTATGCAGTTGACAAATTGCTCGCTCACAACGTTAATGCCAGTGGCTCACAAAGGAGAATTTTTGTTCACAGGACTCCACAGCTTAGAGGGAACATTGCTGGTGAGTAGAGGGATCGATGGGAAGAGGTATAGGTATTGGTGGGACCAGGGCTAATGGAGACCATCCCCTGGAGATAAGGGGTCCATCCCCACCCTTAAGCAAAATAGGCAACACTTTTTGTTCTGCCGTGTAGCAAAGACATCCATGTCCGGATGCCCCCACCTGTCGAATACTGGTTGGAGATACTTCCGGTTGAGTTCCCACTCGTGGAGAGACGCTCCCCATCTGCTCAAGAAGTCCACAGTTACATTGAGGGAACCAGGTAGGTGAGCCACTACCAGCAAAACGCCTCAGGATTGGCATTCATCCCAAATCTCTAAAGCCAGCCTGCAAAGGCTTCTTAACACTGTGCCACCCTGGCAATTGACATAACACAAAGCCGTGGTATTGTCCGTTAAGACTGCTACCGTCTGATGGGCTATCAGATGTAGGAAGGACCGGAGGGCATACCAGATGGCTAGAAGCTCTAGGAAATTTATATGCTGGCGAGCCACTGAGGTCTCCCAAGCCTCTCCTACACACAGTCTGTTCAGGTGTGCTCCCCATCCCCAGAGGGACATATCTGTTGTGATTGTCACTGATGGGGGGGGGGAAAGGGTGCCCCTGCCAGTAAGTTTTGGGGGGTTTCCCACCCTTTGAGGGAGGTTAGAACCCAAGGCGGGAGAGTGAAACACTGGGACTGAGGGTGACGCTGAGGCTGAAACATCTTTAGAAACCACAGCTGAAAAGGTCTCATACGCCATCTGGCAAACATGATCACTGAAGTCATGGCGGCCATCAGTCCCAAGAGATATTGGAGTTGCTTCACCAAGGCTTCCCTGTACTGACGAAGTAGCCGGATAAGGGCGATGATGTCTTGGGTTCGCTGGGGGAGGGGGGGGAGGAAAGCTCTGCATACTCTGGAGTCCAGGATCAAGCCAATGAACTGGACAGTCTGGGATGGACGAAGCATCAACTTCTTGTGATTCATGCAGAGCCCCAACTGGTTCAGGGATTCCAGGGCAAGGTCAATGTGGCGAAGGAGGGTGGACTCCTAACCCACTACCAGCAACCAGTCGTCTATGTACGGGAAGATGTGTATACCTTGAAGATGGAGGTGTGCGGCCACAATCACCATCATTTTGGTGAATACCCAGGGGGCGGTGGACAGCCTGAACGGGAGAGCTTTGTACTGATAATGGTGCTCTCCTACTGCGAAACAGAGAAACTTTATGTGAGCATGATGGATTGTGATATGAAAATAAGCATCTTGCAAGTCCAAGGTTGCCATTCATGCTCCCTGTTTGGGGACAGGAAGGATGCACTGCAAAGTTGTCATTCTGAACTTCTTGTATTGAATGAAACGATTGAGGTCCCTGAGATCCATAACAGGGCGGAGGCCTCTGTCCTTCTTGGGGACCATAAAATAGTGGGGGTAGAAGCCATGGCACTGGTGTGAAGTTGGAACTGGTTCTATGGTGTCTTTGTGTAGCAAGTTTTCAATCTCTTTCAGGAGTGTGCTGGATTGCAGAGTAACGACCAAGTTGGAGGTTAGAGGGGTCTGCAGGAATTCTATGCGGTAGCCCTCCAGGACGATCGATAGAACCCACTTGTCCGATGTTATCCGCCTCCATGCAGACAGGTAAGGATGGAGACGAGTGGGCTGAAGCAATTGGAGAACCGGGGCAGAGTCAAAGACTCTGCTTGGGAGTCTTAGGAGCTTTGGTTCTGGATTGTGTGGAAGGCACAAAGCAAGGCTTGTTCCCATAAGGGCATGAGGATGTGCTTGGGGACCTCTGCCATTGGGTCTCGGGGGATGATTTTTGTGAGGATTTGCGGGACCACATTTTATTCCAGGATTTAGGCCTGGTCTGTCGAGAAGCCTGAGAGACTCCAAGGTTCCGTGATGTCTTAATACTCTTATCTAGATCCTGTAAGACAGTGTCTGTCGTGGAACTGAATAAGCCTTCACCCTCAATAGGGAGGTCTTCCACAAAGGCCTTAGTATCTTGTTTCAGTGATGTAGAATGCAACCAAGCGTGTCGCCAGAGGGCGACAGCAGAGGCAAGTGTTTTAGCCACTACGTCAAGATTATATTTGGCCAAATTAAGCTGATGTTTGGCCAGAAGCATGCCTTCTTTCTGTATACGTCTGGCTTGATGGTTGAGGTCCTCAGGGAGGGCCGCTATAAACTCAGTTAACTGTTCCCAAAGGGCATATTGATAACTGCCCATACAGGCGGTGTAGTTGGAGATTTTAATACCTAATGCTCCAGCAGAGTAAAATTTCCTTCCGAGGGAGTCAAGCTTCTTTTCTTTCTTGTCAGGAGGGGAGGAATGGGTATGTCTGCCCTTAGAAGACGAGTTGACTACTACGGAATTTGGTTCGGGATGAGTAAATAAAAACTCAGCACCTGCCTCTTGGACCTTATACATGTGGTCTATCCTGTGACTGGAAATGGGGAGGAAGCCGGGTGGGTCCACGATGCTTTGGTGGCTTGCAGCAAGACCGATGTCATGGGCAGGGCCACTGCTGTAGATGTGTCCATGGACAATACTGAAAACGGAGTCGGTAACGGTAGGCGGGGGCTGTACTGTCGACAAAGTCAAGGTATTAGCCATGCGCTTTATGAATTCCCCATAGGATTTCAAGTCCTCAGAGGGGGAAATCGGGAGGTCCTCGGCCACATTCTGCGGTGGAGAGGGGCTCGGTGGATGTACTGGACTTTCATCCTCTGAGCACCCGGAGGTGTGCGAGAACTTAGAACAGTGAGTGCAGGAATCCACTCGATGGGCTTCCCCAAGGCACAGGAGACAAAGGGAGTGTCCATTGGGGGGGGGGCACTCTTACTGCCGCTCCGCAAACACCATTTGAAGAAGCCCCACGTTTTGGCCATGGGCCAGGGGGTGGAGGGAGTCTGCTGGGGCAGAGTACTCACTCAGAACGTTAATCAGTCCACAATGTTTTTGTAGATACTCGATAGAGAAGAGAGCTGGGCCGAAAGGCCGGAGAAGAAGAGGAAGAAAAATGAAAACTACCGACCGATGCAGAGAGGTTCCTAACAGTGCGGCGGTCAGAAGAAAAACTGGCGGGATTGTCATGTCCCTCCCCTAGTCATGCGCACAGGAGTCCTGTACGTGATGGGGGAGCAGGCACAAAAATGCCCTTTGCTTTCAATTCTACCGATCGGGGTTGGCGCAGGCACAACTATATCCCAGAGGTGTGATGCACAGAGACCACGAAGAAGATACAGTTGATATAGGATAAATTACAACTACTTTGTACCATCAAAACCTAGTTCAACCAGTCAAAAACCTACTCAGACTATTTTTGCTAACTTTAGCTGGCTAGAAATGCATGCATGCATTTTACCTTAATGGGGGAAGGCATAGGATCCTACCTGTCACAAGTTCCAACTTCTCAGCAGGGTCGCCTTCATCATACAACTTGGGATGGCACCGGTTCCCAATCTGGTTGATGATTTCAGCAGGCAGCGAAGCCAAGTCCTGCCGCACTCGTATCCGGTTCCGAGACTCTGATGCCACCTGGTCTGGCAGAGCTTCCACTTTTTCTGCTGGGCAGGCAGAGTGGGAGGACAGAGAGAGAACAGGGATAAACAGTAGGGAAGCGAGTGGGACCTAGCCAGGAAGACACTTATAAAGCTTGTAAATTTGTCACCAAAGCCTCACATTCTTAAATGGAATGTTTATGCAAGTCATGGACATTCCCGGCCCCCGTGGACAGAACTCAGGATGCCTCGACTCACATTCCATTTAAAAAGCATTAAACAGGTGAGAGTGGGAAGAGCTCTGTACTGCTGTTACTAAGAGGAACGCCAGTCATGAAAAAGGCCTTAATTCAACATGCCTCACCTCATCCTGCCCACATGCAATACTACCAAGTGGCAAAAAGACTGACAGCCCCTACAGACTGAATGCTTTATGTGTCCACTCTGCTTATCTGAAGCATGACCCTGGTGTTCATCATAAAAACAACAAAGAGTCTTGTGTCACCTTATAGACTAACAAATCTATTGTTACATAAGTTTTCCTGAGCCAGAGCAGCCTCTGCTGTACAAACGTTTGCACAACAGTAATCTGTCAGCTTTTAAAGGTCCAGTTAGGCTCTGCTGCTTTCACCACAGCAGACTAACAGAACTACCTTTCTAGAAATTGAGGTCAACACAGTATTTCATATTCATATGACTTTCCCCCCCCAAGGGGCCAAAGTGTTTTGCACACATTATCTCAATGGTCTTTACAATGACCTGTATACTATGCGAACACGTCAGATAGTCAAAGCCAACTGCAGTTCCCTCCAACACAAGAAGAGTGATGCTGGAGCAGACCAAAGTCTGATCTAGTCCAGCATTCTGTTCACACAGTGGCCAATCAACTACTTTTAGCTAGACCACAAACAGGCAGACTGCAACAGCATCCTCCTGCCTGGGCTCCCCAGCAACTCATATAAAGAGCCATGCGACCTCTGGCATTGGAGGATGTAGACATCAATCATGCCACTGACAGGCCAGTCCTCCATGAATGTGTCCGCTCCCCTTTTAAAGCCTTCCAAGCTGGCGGCCATGACCACATCCTGAGGCAGCAAGTTCTACAAATTAACAATACACTGTGTGAAAAAAACACTTCCTTTTATCTGTCCGGATCTCTCGCCCTTTTGCTTCAGTGGATGTTCCCGGATTCTAATATTATGGAAGAGGCAGAAAAGTTTCTTTCTGTCCACTCTCTCCATGCCATGCATAATTTTATAAGCTTCTATTATGTCTCCCCTTACTCGCCTTTTTTCTAAGCTTAAACAGCCCTAAGCATTTTAACCAATCCTCATAGGGCAGTTGCTCAAGTCCCCTGATCATTTTGGTTGCTCTTTTCTCTACCTTTTTCAAGCTCTACAATATGCTTTGGCAGATGTGGTGTCCAAAACTGTACACAATATTCTAATTGTGGTCTTACCATAGATTTATATAATGGCAATATGACAGTGGCAGTTTTATTCTCTGTTCCTGTTCTAATTATGACCAGCATGGAATTTGCCTTTTTCACAGCAGCTGCATGGGGGGGGGGGGTGTCCATCAACATTTTCATCACGTTATCTACTACAACCCCAAGGTCCCTTTCTTGGTATGCTGCTGCTGGCTCAGATCCCATCAGTATCTATATGAAGTTGGGATCGCTTGCCATATGTATGTTTGACAGTTTTATCTAATAATGCTTTCCATCAATGTACCTAGATGTTACCCTAACCAACCTGTAATACCCTGGATCCCTCCAGATTCTTTTTAAAAAATGGGTGTTATATGGGACACTCTCCAGTCCTCTGGTACAGAGGCTGATCTAAGGGACCTGTTGCATATCTTAGTTAATTTCACATTTGAGTTCTTTAAGAATTCTAGGATGGATACCATCTAGTCCAGGTGATCTGTTAGTTTGAAATTTGTCTATAAGTTCTAGAACTTCCTCTACTGTCACTGCTACTTGCCTAAGCCCCACATCCTCCCCTCCTGAAAATGTCCATTCAGGAGCAGGTTAATTGCCTTATATCCTCAGCAGTGAAGACAGATGAGAAGAATTCATTTAACTTGTCAGCAATAGCCTTGTCCTCCTTTAAAGGTAAAGGTTCCCTTGCTCGACAGCCAGTCAAGTCCGACTCTAGGGTTGCGGTGCTCATCTCCGTGTTCAAAACCAGCGCTGTCCGAAGATGTTTCCGTGGTCATGTGGCTGGCATGACTAAACACCAAGGTGCACGGAATGCTGCTACCTTCCCACCGAAGTGGTACCTATTTATCTACTTGCAATTTCTTGCTTTCGAACTGCTAGGTTGGCAGGGGCTGGAACTAGAGACGGGAGCTCACTCTATCATGCGGCACCTGGGTCTCGAACTGCTGAACTACTGACCTAGCCTGCAGTTCAGCGTCTTAACCACTTGAGCCACCACAGCTCCTCCTCCTTTAGTACTCTTTTAATCCATTGTCATCCAGTGGTCCAACTGCTTCCCTGCTCCTCATGTAGTTATTGTTGGTTTTTATGCTTTTAGTGATGTGCTCCTCAAAATCCATTTTTGCTTCTCTAATATCTGCTTGCATTCCCTTTGTGCAAGTTTGTGTTGGTTTTCGTTTGCCTTGTTTGAGTAAGCCTTCCAGTTTCTAAAGGAGGCCTTTTTTTACTCTAATACTTCCTCACCCTGCTTGTTCACCATGCTGGTGACCTCAACTTCTTTTTCACCAGATTTCTCATCTTAGAGAAGTTTCATCTTTTGAAATCAAATATGACAGTGTTGAGAGTTTTCTGACACTTTCCTACATATATAAATTTTATGCCACTGTGATCACTGGTTCAAATTGGTTCAGCCACCTCCACATCTTGCACTAGGTCCTGAGTAGCACCAATGAGGATTAAGTCCAGCATCACTTCCCCTCTGGTCAGTTCCATGACCAGCTGTTCTAGGACACAGTCATTTAAGGCATCTAGAAATTTTACTCTTTGGCATGCCTAGAACACACATTTATCCAGTCAGTATGAGGGTAGTTCAAATTGCCCATTATTACAACTCCCTCTTCCTTTGGATGCCTCCCTGATTTTCCATCTCAAGATCACCCTGAGCATTTTGGTCAGGGAGCCAATAGCACGTCCCCAGCACTAAATTACCTTTGGGACCTGGTATTGTCACCCACAGTGATTCCGTGACAGAGTCAACCCTTTTAAGGTTACATAACAACACCTCCTCCAGTATACCCTTCCCTGTCATTCCTATACATTTTGTATTCAGGGATTACCCTTTCCCATTGGTTCATTCCCTTCCACCAGGTTTCTTTTATGCTCACTATATCTATGTTTACCCTTAAAACCAAGCACTGTAATTCCCCCATTCTGGGCCAAAAGCTTCTGGCATTTGCCTAGAAACGCCTCCTTTCTATGTTTCACATATACATGTGAAAAAGTCATGCAGCCTGTGTTCAGGTTAGATATGGACACTCAACAAATACTTCCACTTGAATATTTGAAGAAGCCCACAGACTAACCAGATCAAGCTCTATGACAAGCACTGTGTTAGACTGCTACAGCCAAAACAGCACTCTTGAGGCACCTTACAGTCTAACAAATTTATTGTGATAGAAGCCTTTGTAAGCCAGGGTCCATTTATCATAAGTATCACAATTATTTCCAAGCTCTCATAGCTGGAACTGGCTCAGAATTTTTTTGGAAAACTTGGGCAGACAACTTGAATAATTGTACTCTTTTAAGGAGGAAGGAACAGGAATATCACCCATCACCATTTTCTGCCTGGTACTCACCAGTCTGTCCTACATTCATCATGCTGTACATAGTGTACATGTTGCAAATCTGCCGGTACTGTTCATCGGAACCTTCCTCAGGAGCATCCTCCTCTTCATCTTCCTCATGATAGGAGCTGGGACTGTCGCTGGTATAGGCACTGGAGGTGCCAGGGCTTGTCTGGTCTGACGTACTGGGGCCACTGACTACATTTGCCCCTCCACCTCCTCCAGATAGCGCTCCCTGCTGCTGGGCTTGCTGCTGCTGCTGCTGGGACGGCTGCTGGGACTGCCGGTTACCCCCACTCAGCTCCTGCTGGGAGGAGATCTTGGCCATTTTGCGGCTCCCATTACTGCCACCGCCACCTCCCCCTTCTTTCTGGCTGTTTTCCCAGAGCCGCTTAACCACAAATGTGCATTGGACAGAGTCCGACTCCTGCTGTTCAGTCTTTACGCGAGAGACCAGGGGCAGGGGCGTGTTGCCAGAGGGCCAGGTAGACGTCTGTGCCACAGGGCTTTGTGGCTCGGACGAAGGTGCCTCCTCAGTGTGCAAGCCTTGGGAGTCACAACTGGGTGAGCTGACCTTCAGAAAAAACTCAGTCCCCTTCTCCATAATCTCCTGGATCTGCAGGAAACCTGCTGTATACATTAGGAGGAATTGGTCACCCACATTCATGCTGAGGCGCCCAGTGTAGCAGAAGCTAAGGATCTGCTGGAAGGATTGTGGTTGCACAGCAGCAGGAAGCTCCACCACTGTACTCTTGCTGTTGTTGAAAAGGTCCCGGAAGTAGCAGCTACTGGCAGCCAACACAGCCCGGTGTGCCTTGAAAGCATGGCCTTTCACCACCACCGAGACATCACAGTACAGACCTTGCAATCGCTGCTCATTCAGGCACTCCAGGATGCTGTTACCAAAGTTGGGGATCTCCATTTGGAGAATTTGAGCCATCCTCTCCTTCTCCTCACTTGGATAGGTCTTCTGCAAAGTAAATAAGGAGCCAGAAAGGATATATATGGAAACAATATGGAAGGATACATAGAGAACCAAAAGTGAGAAGGAACAACCAAGGAAGGGAAAGGGGTGGGGGAAGAAGGTTAGCCATTTCCTTTTACTACCTGGTAGGGATAGATGTGTGGAGGGATGTGAAGAAGGCCGAGGAAAAAGGGATTTTTTTAAAAAAAATATATCCTGGTTTCCCCCAGTTTCCCCCCAAAGTCTTAACAACAACTTTCCAATGCAGAAAAAAACACGTGCTGGGCAGCATTGAAAAAAGTTAATGAAAGATATTCTCTTTTGGAAGTGAAATGTTTTTTTGTGAAAAGGTTTTAGTCACTCAAAACATGTAGGTTTTTATTTAAAAGAATCCGCAGAACAATAATAATTCCTGTAGACATATATGCCCTAATTGGGCAAAAAGGTGGGATATACATTTTGTAAATACATTCACATAATTTTCAAGTATATGTTTAAATTGCTTAAATGTGAGTGATTTTATCCACAATTAATCTGCTCTGATGTGTATGATAATACACCATGAAGAATTCTGTTCAATGTTCTCAGTGGCTTTGATCTCAAGGCTTGCTCCTGAGTGTGAAGCTCCACTGATAGAAAAGGGGGTGATTTCTCCTGCTTCCCCTTGTCAAAACCCACATTGCTACTACTCCACTGGGTCGGGTGATCCTGGACTTCCCTAAGCCTGGAAAAGATTGCTGGAAGGAAAGGAAAACAGTGAAGATCCATGACCATCAGCGCCTTCCGCTGACAGATTGCTATATCCAACCCACCAAGTCCTTCCAATCATCTTTTACACACTGGATCCTACCATTTGGCTCAGCTAAGTACTCAGCCTTCCACCACAGAACAGCAGTCAAATGAAGGCTCCACACATAGCTGAACTGTAGGGTCCAAATGAACATGTAGTTTTTAAAAATGATAAAATTATTAGCATATCACAGTTCTTTTCCCATGGTTCAGTAGCCAGTTTTTTTTGGGGGGGGGCTTTGGACAATGAGAGTGAAGCTGTGCCAAGATTAGCATAACCATTAAGGTGGACCTCAAGTATACACTAATCAATATATACTACCATTGCTTTGAGAATGGGCTGTCCTGTGCCTTGTTCCTGGCCCATGGGTCATAACATGGGTGATATATAGACTTGTGTACCCACAAGAGCTGTAATGCATTCATTCCCAGCTATAGAGAAAGTTACAAGTATAAGCAGGCCACCCACAAAACATTGAGAGGAGTCCACTGGGATAAGAGAAGGGTACTTGTGAAATTGCTTTTGCAAATACAAGTTTGAGGACTTGAAAACCAGCACAGCTGAAAGAAAAAAGAGAAGCTATTTGTCGTAAAGTCTCTTCTTATGGAACAGCTTTATGAATAGCTGCATTTACTACACGCTAAGGTCCAGTAGCACCTTAGAGAAAAGTACGAAGAGATTTTCAGGGTATAAACTTTTGAGAGTCAAAGCTCTCTCCCAACTTATACTCCAATTTTTTTTTCATCTCTAAGGTGCTACTGGAGTTGAATCTAACTATTCTACTGCAGAGCAACACAGCTGCCCTCCAAAACTGTACTGGTTCAAGTTCCTTGCCTCGCCTGGAAACACACACAGAGGAGGAAGTTTCAGGGAGACGGATATCTCAGGAGAACATATATCAACGCATCCTTTCCCCATTTAAACAAATGCCTGACTCTAATCTTAGACAAAATATGTTTTGTCACTAAGCTTTTCTCAGTACTGTTGTTATAGCTCGCATACAGTAAAATTTTTTACAGAATTGGACCCATCAATATTTTGCTCTAAAAATGGCTTTGGAGACAGAAATGTTTTGCTTTAAATTTTGGAAAGCAGAATGTAAAAACAAACCAGCCAAAATTGTACAAGAAAACCATGCAGTGGAAACTCTTGGAAGTCAGTCCCAGCCACTTTGTAAATTTAAGCTTGCAATATTTTGCATCATAGATGCATAAGGATGAAGGGAAGCCAGATGTCCACTTCAATTCAACCTCCTGAACTGAGGACATAGAACTATCCATATTTAATATTCACAACAGATTTGTATATATCACAGAGAACCGTACGCCCGCAACATAACACAGAAACAACAAATTAAAAGCTCACAAATGTGATTAGGAACCATGCACATAGAAGCTTCCAAAGAAAACAATTAAAAAAATTCTGGGATTAAGGATGCCATGGAGGGGGGGGGATAATAAATGTTTTAGCCATGAAGGCTGGCATCTCTCCATTAGTCTCTTGAGAATTCAAGACAAGAGATGTATTGGTCTTGAAACAACAACCCAAGGGTCATTAGCTCTGCTTCCAACATCAAGCCATGGCCAGGGCTGGTGCTGGGTTTTTTTTTTGCACACTAGGCGAGGCT